GCACGTAGCAGCCGTGGCTCTGCTCTATTTGCTTAACATATGAAGGACTGTTCTTAATAAAAGCTAATATATAGTTTTGTTGTGTCACATCCACCCACAGACTAGAGAAGGTTTTTTGAATGTTATTTAAATGAAATTACTTCTTTTAATTTTATTGACAGGGTTTTTTTGTAATTCTAACACTCTAACATTGCTAATTTTTGTCATATGTATCTTGTAAATTGTTTTGTTTTTTCCAAATAAAAACTTATGTCATGATTAAAAAAGAAACTGAGGACAAAATTTCTTTCTTTATTTTTGATAAATTGTTAAATTATAAACATCTCTTTACAGCTGAGCACTGGTAAGTCAAGATTTGCATGTAAGAAAAAAAACCTTTCACGGTTTCTTCTTTTCTGCTTTGTCTGTCTTGGGCACTCTGAAACGTGTCTTCTGGGAGTATAGCAGATTCTTGGCAAAGATTCTGGGAATATGGCCCATGTACAGGAGAACAGCCAAAGTCATACCTAGAAATCAAATGTTTATTGTATGTATTGTGTTCATTTTTTAAGCACCTGAAAGTACATGCACATTTAATCAGTTTACCTGTGAGAGAGCCCAGCCAGTAAACCACTGCATACTCTGCAAAGGTAAATCCAGAACAGTGGAAGGTGAGTCCATATGCCAGTGATGGATTCATGTAAGCTGAGGTATAACCTTTGGCTGAAGAAAAGAATAGACAAATACAGTTTTTGTTAAATTTTCAGCTTTAAGTCCGCTGAACTTTCAAAGTAAAAAAACAAATGCAAATAATGGATCCTTTGACATCAAAAAGCAAAACGTTTAAATAATACAAAGATTAGGAAAGCCAGTTATTCCCAGGCTTACCTGAATGGGACAGGAATGTTAGGAGGACAGCAATCAGTGGCACTCGGATCAGAGCAGATCGGTGGCATAGGTTTAAGTGGATGATGTGCAAGACGAGGGCACAGGCAAACTCGGTAAAAAATCCCTGAAGCACAGAAACCAGCAGAGATGTGCTGCACTCCCTGATCATCAGGTTTTTGATCATGTGCATGTCTGTCAGCTCCAGGCTCCAGTAGTATTTAGCTGCAAGAAGGCCTAGGTGAGCCCCAATAAACTGGGCAGCAACATTAAGCAGTGTGGTTACGGTGGTGGCCTCAAGCTTCAGGAATTTCTGCACAGCCAGGCTGGGATTCCCTGATGCATCACCACAGATTATACCGTGTGTGAGCAGTACCACAAACAGTATGGTTAAAGTCACATCAGGGCCCAAACCCCCGGCCCACTCGCCCACCTCCACGATGGTCTGCACCTCCAGCCAACATGCCACCAGCATAAAAGAAGATGTAAACTCTGAGATGAAGCTGAACCGTGGCCGATTTTTAAGGAGAAATCGAACTGAGACTACAAAAGTCACAGCAGCCACAAAGTATCCGAGAGATGCATTCAGTCCAGACATGGCTCAGGCGAGATGTCCCCTTCTGTGTTTTGAAGAAAATGAAATTAGCGGGGGTCTGAATTTACCACGGTGCTCACTGTTTGACAACGTGGCACATGCACAGACACAATTCTTATCAGAGACACGTCAGGGTTTTTATCCCACAACCACCTGCCAAAATACACATGGGCTTTTTCAAGGTCAGGTCAGGAAGCTGGCCTTTATTCAGTGATCATTTATTATCATCAT